GGCAAAGACATCAGCAGCAGAGCCGGCCAAATGGTACAAGTACACGTCAAAAGTTCAACAGGCCATCAACGCGCATGTACACTCGTCAACAAAGTATACTCCTTTTGAAGTTATGTTTGGAGTGAAAATGCGTTGTGAAGCAGATACCAAAATTATCAAAATATTGGAAGAGGAATTAATTATGGGTCTACAAACCGAGCGTATCACAATCCGAAACGATGTTAAGATGCAGATACAAGAGGCGCAAAGGTCATCATGGCTATCAGCTACACGATCTTGTGGCAATTAAGGTCACCCAATTCGTTACTGGCAAGAAGTTGGCAAACAAATATATCGACCCATACGAAGTTGTCAAGGTGAAACGTAACGGAAGGTATGAAGTCAAAAAAGTTTCTGATTTTTAGGGGCCCCAGCTGACAACAACCAGCGCCGACTTTATGAAGTTGTGGCGCTACCAAAAGCAAACACAGGACGAAGAAGCCGATACAGATTCATCTGAGACAGATGAAGAGCAGAATGGCCGAGTGTAAGGTGGCAACCAGGCACCTATAGCAGCAAGATGGCATCCCTATACAGCAGAAGGAGAGTGTGAAGAGAGTCGTCAACGAGAGTTCGTGGCAGCAAGTCATCAGCAGGTCGTGTAATAAAGTCGTCAGCAGCCGTGTCGTATTGAAGAGCAGCAGTCAGTCGTTTCAGCCGTCAGAAGTTTCAGTGATCAGACGTCGTCTAATTTTAATAACCGTTGTAAACTTGCACAATTGTATTAATCGCGTTGAACTTTTACTATTCTCTTAACTGCTCTATACATTATATTCATTATATACTTGATTGATTTGCATTTACCAATAAACGGTAGTACAATCCATCCTACATGTATGTATGTAAATAGATTTTTTACCACTTTTCACTTGCACGAATTGCAGCAATTAAACTTATTAGAGCGCACAAAACCAAGCCACAAAGACCGCAAATGAAAGCGAGAAAAAGTCGTAGAAACCGATGTCCCGCAAGCTTTTCAGCGATAAACAAACGAAATTAATTTCAACTAAATAAATGACACGCGGGTTTTGTGATTTTAATATGTCTTTAATGGCTTGGAAATTTGTACGTACGATGTTTTAATTGCGAGTATTAACAAAAGAGTGATTCGCTTGCTGCCGCCACAAGTCAGCGAACCAGCATAGGAACGTGCGCACAAAGGAGAGCGCAGTAAAGGGCGCTATAGAGAGCGCAAGAGAAAGGTTTAAAACTAAGCCCTTGAAAGTCTAAAGCGGTTGTACGATAATAACTGCTTGCAAAAGATTTACCAGCCACGTTACTTGCCACGATAGTCCAATTTACAGGAAGTCATAGCCATACAATATTTTCCGAAGCTCTGTTAGCAGCCATTGTTGTTGATACTGCTTTTGCTCGCCTATATATGTAGGATGGATTGTACTACCGTTTATTGGTAAATGCAAATCAATCAAGTATATAATGAATATAATTTATAGAGCAGTTTAGAGAATAGTAAAAGTTCAACGCGATTAATACAATTGTGGAAGTTTACAACGGTTATTAAAATTAAAAGCCGGCTGATCACTGAAACTACTGACGGCTGAAACGACTGACTGCTGCTCTTCAATACGACACGGTTGCTGACGACTTTATTACACGACCTGCTGATGACTTGCTGCCACGAACTCTCGTTGACGACTCTCTTCACACTCTCCTTCTGCTGTATAGGGATGCCGTCTTGCTGCTATAGGTGCCTGGTTGCCACCTTACATATATTACATACATGGTCTCAGAAACACACGCATAGACAAGATGGGCACCATAGACACAATTCCGATGTAAATGTGCAGACAAGAAGGTATAATCGCTTAACAATCACTATTACTTGGCATACTGATACATAATTACTAACTGGAGGTGTTTGCCAAATTTGGGTTAACAATTCCAAGAATTATGGAAGCTATGAAAAATCTTTAATAGCGGTGGAGTGGAAGTACACTTTCATATAATTTTGACCGTCGTAGACGTCGGACGTATTTTTATATCACTCAGCCGTTTCTTAAAAGTGCAATTAACGCGAAATTAAACAAATTAATTCGCGAAAAGACGCTTAGGGTATGCATGGGCACCTATGCTCGTGTGACCCATGTAAATTTATCATATATTGTGATTTACATTAAGAAAAACGAACTAAATCTTGTGGAAAAAGAAGGTAATGCGAGTAACAGCATAAGCTCTGTAAACAACAATGAAAAATTGAGCCAGAATCGTGCTCGGCAGCAACAACAACAAGACGAACGTCGACTCTTGACACTTCGTAACAACGCGTACCAACAACAACTGCATTACTGAAAGCTATGTGCAAATTAAAAGAAAACTAAACCCACGAGCGACAAAGAAAAACAACGCATCCAAAATAACAACAAGTAAAATAGCTGAAGTCGGGTGTCACGACTTTGAAATACTCTGTACATATGTTTAGAATAATTATAGAAATTAAAAAAATTAACAAACAAAAATTTAACGATTCTACCTTTCTCGGTATTCGAACTCACGTAAAGTGTGTATAATTGCACATATACAAAGCAACTGCGTCTATGTGAATGTATGAATGTCTATGCGCGTCTATTCGTGTCTGTATAAATTCTTGTTAAATCGGTCTATCATAGTGAAACTTGGCATACGGACATATAATCACTATCTGGGTATTTGAAAAATATGAGTTCGAAATTCCAAGAATTACGGGAGTTATGTGAGATCATTAATTGCTGTGAAGAGGGGGGAGGGAGCGAAATTCCAAAATACACATATTCTGCGTGTTTAGGAAGTGAGGAGGAAAACAAAAAATAAAACAAACTTGCACAGCGTACACATAAGGCATCTTTGTGAAATATATGGTGTCTCTAGCTTTTATAGTCTCTGAGATCCAGGTGTTCATACGGTCAGACAGACAGACAGACATAGATCGACTCGTCTTGTCATGCTGATCAAAAATATATATACAGACCTCACTGCCACGCCTCATTCTGCCTGCTAGATTTTTCAGCTCGCAAAAACCTAATATACTCTTGTACATTTCATGTACAGAGTATAAAAACAGCTAAAAATACTGTGACAACTAAGGCGATGAAAAACAATAGATTCGCGATTCTCAGTTTACTTGAAAAAGATAACGCCGAAACAGCTAAGGCCAAGCAACTAAAGGCGCCACATATTAATGTGCGTCAGGCAAATTGTACAGAATTAGTTAAAAATCTCACTACTGAAATTGGTGGAAACAAATTCTATGTTACGTCTATAAAAAGGGGTAGCATAAATAAAACTAAAATACAAGTCAATGACGAAAATAACTATCGATCAGTGGCCAAATACCTCGACGATGAAAAGATGAACTACCGCACCTACCATCTTAAAAGTACCAAGGGTTTACAAGGGTTATCAAAGGAATCGATTCAACGGTTCCAGTCAGCGAGATAAAAAATGAACTTAAAGATAATGGCTTTGAAGTCAAAATGGCCATGAACGTAATAAATATAAATAAAGTTCCCCAACCAATGTTCAAGGTAGAACTGATACCTGACTGTATGCCCATAGGAAAAATGAAGTTCACCCAATTTACAAGTTGCAATATTTAAATAATATTTAAATATTTGCACCGTAAAATCACAGTTGAGGAATCGCAGAAACGAAATGGACCTGTCCAATGCACAAACTGCCAGGAATATGGACACACAGGCCTGCCTTGTAAGTAAGGAGGACCCCTCTGCTAAAAAATGTAGCAACTGTGGGGGAAACCACACTGCCAACTCAGTCAATGCGAGTTCTTGCAGTTCCTCGATAAATATGACATTGACGCAATGCTCATAACAGAGATTCACCTAAGAAACAAAAATAATATTCATCTCAATGGTTACAATGGCTATGCGACAAATCATCCCGATGATAAGGCTCATGGAGGTACTGGCATTCTGATAAAGCGTCGCATCAGGCACTATCTGTTGCCATCATTTACTACAACTTATATACAGGCCACAACAATTCATATTGAAATACAAAACGGCTACTTAGGCCTAGCCGCAGTATACTGTCCACCACGCTTCTTCGTTTCTGAAGCAGAATTTTACTATTTGCTGATGATACTGCCATCCTAAGTCTCTCCAAGTGCCCAACAATAGCTCCAGAACTCTTATCGTCTCACCTCATGCCCATAGAAGCCTGGCTACCAGACTGGTGCATACTGTAAACGAGCAAAAGTGCAAACATGTCACCTTTACCCTAAACAAACAAGCTTGTCCTCCATTGTCGCTAAACAACATCAATATTCCACAGAAAAACGACCATTCACCACTAAAACTGGAGTACACAGTACTCTTGTACAATGTAGTTCTCAAACCAATTTGGACATATGGCTCTGAACTATGGGAAAACGCTTCCATTAGTAACTTAGAGATAATCCTGAGATCTCAATCGAAGATTCTGAGAACCATCACTGGGGCACCCAAGTTCATACAGAATAAAAATATCCGGAAGGATTTAAAAGTGGGATCTGTTAAAGCAAAGTACCAGCTTAAGCTTCGGGACCATCCATATAGACGTGCGCAGAATTTAACTTGGCAGACTATCCATAAACGACTCTGGCGAAGAGATTTCCCCACCTAGCAATAACAGTCAGGGCCGTAATTTAAATATTTAATTGTAATTAATTAAATAATTATATTAGATTAAGATTTGACTACTTATCGCAAGTCTCCGAGAGAGTTTATTCGATAAATAAGGAAATCTATCAACAAAAAAATGTATAAGGGATATTAAGCCAAGTTGCCGAAAGTTGTCTGTTTCCAGTGAAGGCATTTTACATAACCGTATACGTTCCTTGCCAATGAACCGCTTTTGGAAACAATTCATAACTTATTGCTAGCACGGGTAAATTTTTAAAATACTTGTAATTTTAAAAAAGTTTCATTTCAAAGATATTGACACTATATTTGTTCTTCTTGTTACAGTACTAAATCGCATACATGCTAATTTAAAGGATACCACAGTAAACATTGAATATATTTTACCGAATTCAGGGAGAAAACTGCTGATATCTTTTCAAGCTAATCATGTGGAGTACAAAAATATGACTGGCAATGAAAAGACTCCGCCAACCATAAATGAAAAAAGTGAAAGCAACAGTGATGATCGGGAAAATAATTGTAATATTAGTCCATTGCCAACGATCACGAAACACAATTTAATTTTGAGAGGTTTAACCATACTTACATCAGAAACATTTTTAGTTGAAAACAACGAAGATCGTAAAGAATGTAATCACAAGACCAAATCGATTACAAAATTATCCAAAATAGTTGAATTAAAGGGATATCAAAACATTCAAATCAATATTAAACAAGATGAGAATATTATTGGTCCAAAAGTAAACCTTGAAGTTATCCTTGATGAAATTGTAGTGATGCTAACTCCTCGACAAATACATTTATTGATTGAAATTATAAATGGATTTAACAATGAATATCCAACGGAAAATATTGTGATTAAAGACAGAGAGTCAGATACAGCACAAGAATATTCTGAAAGTACAAAAATGTCAGGAGTTATTACACCTAGTAAAGAATGGGGAAAAGACAAAACTATTTCCGGAATACGAAGTTTTCCGATCGCAGATAACATAAAAGCCTTGTCTTCCAACAAACGTCGGCTAACGGATTCTATCATAAGCTCAGAGTCTGCACATAGTACGACAACATCATTTGCAAACGCGAACCAGGAAAAAAATAATTTAGAAAAATCTGGTGAAATTTTAAAGTTTAAAATGCAAATTGCTTGCGTAATGGGAATTATTCTTCATAAAGATATATTATTTTCGAACTGTCAAAATGAATATGGATACCAACTAATTAATGTTGAAAGCTATCAGAATCTTTCTAGGATTGAAAATAATTTTTTTATGTTTGTAAATAAGGATAATCCAGTGCAAGAATTGGAGCTCCCTGAAGGAAACAGCAGCTATTTATTTTTCAAAGTTTCACCAATATTATTAAATGGTAATCAACAGAGACAGTATCATGAGCTATCATCTATTATTTCTGTATCAGCAACAATGGTTGATGTATCGGAAATTCTTGATAACAACGCGGACAGCCTCATACTATTTAGCCGAACAAAGGTAAAGTACATATATGATATTCAAAAATTAATCAGAGCTAAAACATTGGATAACATGTTAAACCCATTCCAGCTATTTTACCTGTATTTCCAAGATAAGATATTCCTAAAAATTTTACAAAATAGTCACGTAAGTCTTGTGAGCTTGCCATTCCGCAAACCAGTTTTTATACTCTGTACATGAAATGTACAAAAGTAGATTAGGTTTCCGTCTCCTCCATATTTTTATACTCTGTACATGAAATGTACAAAAGTAGATTAGGTTTCCGTCTCCTCCATATTTTTATACTCTGTAAAAAATGTTACAGGCCGAAGGAGGCGTGGCAGCCCCCACAAAGTGTATATATTCTTGATCAGCATGACAAGGTGAATCGATCTGTGCCTTTCTGTCTGATTGTCCGTCTGTCCATATAAACACCAGGATCTCAGAGACTAACAGCTAAAGCACAAAGATGCCTTATTTATGTACGCTGTGGAAGTTATTTTTTTGATTTTCCCCCAATTTCCCCCTATGGGAGATTTCCCGATGTACAATTCTTATAATCGCCTATTTCTCAGAGACTATTAGACCTAGGGCACCAAATTTTAGTCCCAGATTCCATATGTGAATACGCAGAAAATGTGTATTTTAGAATTTCCCTTTATTTTGTGTGTGCATGATCTACCCATATGTTTTCACCTTATTAGTTATAGTTATATGTACATAAATACATATGTACATATGCATGCATGCTGCCAGTGCAGCTGCAATCGAAGTTAGTCGACACAGAATCGCCGTGCTGATCTAACGCGTCTCGTAAAACAACACAGTACGAGACAACACACTTCTACTTCTGCACATATTGCTTAAAGGCTCAACTATTTGAATTGGTGGCCTTTTAAATTGTGTAATTAGTTCAGTTCATAGACGAACATAATTGGCCCTGTGCGGCAAAAATATACATTTGAAAAGAGAAATCGTTCTTGTTTTAATTGTCGTGTCTGAAACGCGCTTCAGACAAAACCCATAGACTAAAAAAGGCTACCGAAAAATTTCGGTACCTCAACATTTTGGTGACCCCGACGTGATGAACACTTAAAAACTGGTGACCCTAAAAAACCATAATTTGTGGCTTAAAACGCTTTTAGCTAAGTACTAAGTGAGTGCAAAGTTATTTAACGTACATATACATACGTACATACCGCTGCAGCGTCAGTGCACGTACTTACATAAATATGCGTGCATATTCGACTGTACAAAGCGCGTGAGTTTTTATACCCTGTACCCAAAGGGTAAACGGTTTTGTGCGAGTGTACATGGAACACACATAAGCAGGCGTGGCAGACCCCACAAAGTATGTGTATGTATTTAGGCGGATAACGCATGCATGAAAAATTTAAATGTATGTACATATCAGCGTTGCCGAACGCTCCAATTTTGGTGGGACGTCCCGATTTATAAATCAAAATTAAATGTCCCGCGTCGGACTTTTCGGGAATAACTCGACCGTGCGTACAACGTGGTGAGGAAGCACACAGTTAAGTCAAGACTGGCAGTCCGCCCGGTGCGTAACGAAGATATGTACATATGTACTTGTATGTATGTACGTATAACCATACATAGTACTTATTGTACTATATTTGCTATTTGGAAAATGAACTCTTTAAAAAACTTTAGAGAGCGTCGAAAGAAGAATATCATATAGTAAATAAACTTTTAATTATAATCACATTTTACTTAGCCCAGCAAAGACGGGCAAGACCTGCTAGTATTAAATATACAAGTATATGCAACTTTTCGTTGAAATTTTATAACTCAAAAACTGGCTCACCTATTCAAACCAAATATTTAGGCTTTGTTCGGACTATTTAGTAGATGGTTTATGTAAAGTTTGCACAAAATCGGTCGAGCGGTTCTTCATTTATCACATTTTTTGAAACATATAAACGTGGAGTATTGTAATTCAGTCAAATCCATTAAACAATTTTGCACGTACGTAAATAAAGGGTGGGATATGGCTGTTTTCGGTGTTTCCGCTGATAATAGAATGATGAAATTACTCAGTCTCAAATGGGGCGCTATTTTAGTACTATGAAGCTGTCCTGAGGATTATGTCGTTTCCAATGCACGAAAGACATCCTATGGTTGTTCACTTGGCTGTGCATCTTGAGAATGGCCAACGTGTTTATTTTAATGAAGAAAATGTATTGAAGAGAGCAGCAGCGACTACGTTGACCGCTTTTTATACTCTGTACATGTTGGTTCCGGGCGGAACTTACAACGAAACGGCCACGAACCGCAGGAGCCAGTTCCAATTCCGTGAACAGTGCTTCCATGAAATAGGGTGACCAGCCGACATACCACAACAGACACGACAGCCACAAATTTCTATGTAATTTTAAATTTTTAATATGGCGCACCGTTAAGGAATTAAAACTAGTAGCTGCATTTTGTAGAGGCAAGCAATAATGCAAACCTCCCTACGTTGACTATATAATAGCTTGTTTTTAATGCTTTTCTTACGCTGATCCTGGTGAATATGGCGCACTCCAGTTGAAGTGAGCCACGTATATAAAACGTTGGCTTCCAGATGAGCCGCAAAGAAGTTGCAATGGGCACCAAGGTTACGGAACGGGGCTCTGGCGGCCGAGTAGGGGCGGCATATACCCCATCCCGCCGAGAGAAATCTTATGGCCAACGAGGGATTCAACTCCCCAAGCGACATGTATGTCGCCGCGCTCACAACGTAATAACACTCTCTCCGTAGTACCGAGCCCAGTTACGTGCTACGTATGGTGTATACCATATTCCGTTCCAGTATTGGAAGCCCCTTATTGTTTTTGACAATTCGAGCTGACGATGTTGGTATTCTGCGACGTGAGTACGTAGATTGACACCCTATCGAAATGGATCGTAGGTTAATGCCACCATTGCCCCCGTCCCACTAAAACCGTGGCAGGCCTTGAGTAACGCTTGCTGTTCGTCGCCATTTATTTGGTTGTGAAGGCTCAGATGCACACTCTAGACTAGTACCGATCTGGGTCTGAACTTTGTCTCCCATAAAGAGCAAAGTCAACCCTTGAGTGGACCACACTCATGAAGAGCACCCACGGGATCATTAAGGCAACAAAACGCACGGACAGCAATAACGGACCCAAGTTGGGTCCCAACAACAATGACAACAACAACTATAATAAAGAAATAACCCCAGCAGTGGAAATGAATGATGAGAAGCAAGCTTTTCTGCACAGCTCGGTGCTGAGGCGGTCACCACCAAAAGCGGTAGCAATGCCAACCGCGGAGGCCTGATGGCCCTTATAAATGGAGGCTAGAGGCACATCAACCAGCTTGTTGTCTCTGCAAATATGGCACTTATATTGTGTACCGGAAAGCATGCGGGTGAACCAGTGCACCCAAACGACGCCACCGATGGAGCACCGCCCCCAACTGAGCACCCCCAAAAAGGCCCAGAGACCCAAAAGGTAACCAGCGCACTATACCACCGAAGAAGTTGAGAACGCGCGACCAGGAGCGAGCCACTGCACCGATGCCACTAGCTCAGAGCGAAGATGGCCATGGAGCCATCATGGAGCCGGCAACCGCCAAGAAGAGCGCCTGGACAAAGGTGAAAGGTCGTGGACAAATGAAACTCAGCAAACCAGGTGACATTATTGTCAAGAGCGGTGGCGATCGTCAATTTTCTGACTTACTGAAGGCGGTCAATTCGGGCCCAACCCTACAAAGCATGCGCGATGATGTCCAATGCATCCACATCTTGCTTAGGTCGCACATTTCTAAGCCTGTGTTTGCATCATCAGGTGTGCCTCAAGGTAGCCATCTTGGCCCCTTACTTTTTACATTATTTATTGATGACCTTCCCGCCACCTTGTCACACTCATTCTTATGTATGCTGATGATGTGAAACTTATTCTGACTTACAAAGACCCTTCTCATTTTCATCGCCTGCAGGATGATCTGAACTGCATGTAATCTTGGTGCTTAGCTAACCACTTGCACCTCAATTGCTCCAAATGTAAGCTCATGGCATTTTAGCGAACCTTGCCTCATTTAGGGACGTATACGATTGACAATGTGCCATTGCAACGTATATCGACTGTTGAAGACCTTGGGGTTCTTTTTGATTCCAAATTGAACTTTTACCTTCACATATCTAGTATTGTCAATAAGGCCAAGGGATTACTTAGATTCATTAAACGTTGGTCCAAGGAATTTAATGACCCTTATACCACTAAGCTTCTTTACACTGCTCTAGTACGCCCTGTGCTTGAATACTGCTCATGCATTTGGTCTCCGCAGTATAGAAAGCATCAGGAAAGTATTGAGTCTGTTCAGAAGCAATTCCTTCTTAAGCTGGGATCCCAATCTCTGCTTGCCATCGTACTCTAGTAGACTGATGCTTATAAACCTTCCTTCCTTTGAAAATCGTAGGACGGTTCTTGGAGTAGTTTTCTCCACAAGTTGGTTCTCGGTGAGGTTGACTCCTCTGCCCTCTTAGGTCGCCTTAATTTTTCAGTTCCTCGTAGACCAACAAGGAATTATTTGCCGTTCATATTGGCAAGATGCACAACGCTTTGCACAATCGTTTTCGGGTCATTTGCAGACATTATAATGATCATTCACATTTACTTTCGACAGGACTCTCTCTCTGTTCTATCAAAACTATTCTTTATAATTATCTTCGGGGAAATCTTTGACCACTTACTGCTGTGATTTGGGGCATAGCTTGCCGGACTGGCATTTAAAATTTCACCCACCGGGTTGGAGATTTCCCTCTTTTTTTTTCGTCTCTTTTTCCACCTTGCTCTTTTTCTTTTTCTCTATCTCTCTTTCCTTCTTTCTTTCTCTTTTTCTCGTTCTACTTCGTACTTTTTCTAATTAGTTGTTAAATAGAATTAATTTTTCACCTTTATCTACTTTTTGTATAGTTTTGTAGGTCTTTAATGTCTCTGACCACATATGGCTGTGAATCGGGGCATAGCTGGCCAATTAGCAAATAAAAT